CCGATTCTGCCTCAAGAAAAATTTAGTCTAAATCAAAGTAACTAGCCAATTTGAAAGAGAAGTCTAAACTACATTTAAAACAGTAAACAGAAATTATGTCAGGCAACACTCAATATTTATAACAAAAAAATTTATAATAATGCCAGATACTTTCTAAAATGTATGAAAATGCCAGAAACAAACCAACTGTATAAGCTTTTGTATATTCAGGGTGACTAATTATATTAAAATAACTAGGAATGAGAAAACATGAGAACAAAAATCTAGTGCAATATACAGTGGGCAATAAATTCTGTATTACAGCAATATAAAAACATACATGAAGAATACCAACTACTTAATAATAAGACATTAACTCACAGAACTCATAATTCAGTTATAGAAATCTGATTTTCCAGTTCTACATCTGAGGGACTGTGAGTGTATTTGGTGCCATCCTTCATCCTGCATCATCTGAGAAACTGAGCTAAGTTGGGCCTCTTTAGTTCTGAGGCAGGAGCGTACCTGGGAAATTTAGGTGGAGTATTTATTATGCAATTATTAAGAAGACATAGCTCTGTGCATCCTATCTCTGTCTCCTGACTTGTAAGGGGGTTTGACATATATTTGTTAGCAGAACTATGTGTATTAGGATTCTGTAAACACTGTGTGTGTGCGTGTGTGTGTTAGGATTCTGTAAACTATGTATGTGTGCGTGTGTGTGTATACGTATACACACACACACACACACACATATATATATACACACACATATCCACACACACATGCATACACACACATACAATGGAAGGAGGCAAACCAAAGTTTGGATTTTCAACAATCCTGTTAAGTGAGATCTGTAGGGAGAACGAAAGCTATTGGGGATGTTTCCTTTTTATTTCAACATGCCAGTATTATTTAATTTCTTTTAACATAAGAATATATTTTTTTCAGTACTTAAATAAACATGTAAAAATGTTTCAGGGCACTTTGGTAAGCTGGAGAGGATGAATATACGAGGAAGAAAGCTGTACCTTCTTATTTCTCTCTTCAGGCTAGAGGTCTCCATAGCCCTCTAGATGTGGTTACTGTCAAACATAGCCCCAGGTGCACCTGCTCAAGAAGAAGGAGGGGGCGGGGTCTAGGGCAGAGGCCCAGATCGTAGTGACATCCATCTGACCCTCTCACAAACATCCCCTTCAAAGCTGTTTTCTGCTCCTGGCTGCATATTCAAGTGTCAGGATGGTTTTCGCAATCTGTACACATTCCTCTGGAAGATGAAAAATCTAGGGACGTTTTCATGTTTATTTCAAGGGAATCTTACAGTCTTGCTGCTAGGTGTATACCAGGGCAGGATTTGGAGCTTGGAAGGTGGTAGAAGTGATAGGCACCAGGGATCACTCCCTTGGCCTTGGGCCCGTGCTCATGCCAAAGAGTGGGGTTTGAAGCCCCCCTCGGGACGTTCTGGGCCAGAGCTATTCTGATAAAGTTTCTGAGTCTGAGATAAGTCACATGGTGTACTTATCTCTGCCGCCAGCATCTTCACAGAGCTGTAAAGGAACATTCAAGGGTCACTTTAGAGGGGAAAGGGGAATAAGGAAGGCAACATACAGTCATAAGCAGGGTGAATGGGCAAGGAAGGGCTGGCAGGCCTAGACCTTGGTGGGAGAGCCTCCTGGGCACTGCAAAGCTGGTTAACATGAACATTGCAATTCTATATAATTTATATAGTGATACTGCTCACCTCTTCCTGACTGCTTCCCTTGTGAGTCACTGATGAACTGCCTGTCTCTTTTCCCTCCCTCCAAGTTGGGAAGCACCTCACAAAATCGCTGCTCAGCTCTGTGGCCAGTTCTGGCCTGGGCATTTCTTGTTGTCTAGGAACTCAGAGGCCTCTCAGAGATAATACTAGTGGTTGCTTCCTGTGGTTTCCTCCCTGACTCCCTCTGTCATGGGGTTGTATGAAGAGGACTAGGGCAGCACGGGCCTAATCATCTCTGGGTCCCCATCAGCCCTTGATTCACAGAAGTACAGTGCATAATAATTTTCAGTGGAAACGCATGGGCATCAGAGTCAGAGAAGCTGAGACTGTGGTATCTAACGTATCACCAACGTACTGCTCTCCTGGGTTTAGGCTAGCCTTTAACTCCTGGGTCTCAGGCTCCCAGAGTGCCCATCCCCATATATGGTCCTTGTGCAAGGGTCAATGAGGCAGCCCATGTCAATCGCCAGATCTAGTGCCTGCCATAGAATGTGTGCTCCTCGGAGTAGAACTCTGGACATCTCCTCCTGGATTAGGGTCTAGACCTGGTAAGTAGAGATGGATACTTGCACCACTGCCCCAGGCAAGTCCACCTTCTACCCTGAGCTGTGAATGAGCAGGATGGCCAGAAGCCTACCTCTGACATTTCCTGTCCCTTCTTCATTCCAGCCACTGAACATTTATGGAGCACCTAGTAAGTGCTTTCAGATGTAGAAGACGAAAGGATGAATGAGAGAGCGTCTCTGCTTGGCCTCTAGGGCCTTCTCAACCAGTGGGGGAGCTCATATCCCAGGATAGTCCAAGGGTTCATATTCCCTCCTACCTGTTCTTTGCCCTGCTCACCCTCCAGCACTGCGATCCCCCTCCTCTCACTACTTGGACCTTGGCCTTGTTTCTCTCCTCTTTCTCAGCTTCTCACTTCCATGGATGCCCATTCAATTCTATTGTAAAAGAACTGAGTAGGGTTTAAAAAATTTATTTTGCCATTTATTACAATGGAAACTATTCATGATCGGAGATAGAACATACTGGACAATTTGAAGAGTATTTCTGAACACTTTGTGCAGCCACCACTTCTAATTTTTACCTTAACATCTGTACCCTGTGAGAGTCTTTCATCCACCAAATACTTATGGAGCTTCTACCATGGGCCAGGCACTTTTCGTGCATTAGGGATAGAGCAACCAACAAAGCAAAGTCTCTGTCCACATAGACTTACATTCTAAAGTGGAGGCAGACCAATAAACAAAGTGCTGTATGATATGATGGCTGCTGGTATGATAAATGCTATGTAGAGGAATGAAGCAAGGTAAGGGGTTAGAGATTGCTGGCAGAGAGTGGGGGGCTCTGATAGATGAGGTCGTTAGGAAAGTCCTCTTGGAAAACAGTGGGAGAAGGAGTCAGGAAGTTAAATGAGGAGAGAGCCTTGCAAGGCAGAAAGGATAGAAAGTACAAAGATCCTGAGGACAGAGCTACTTGATGTGTGTGAGAATCAGCAAGGAGGACAATGTGATTAGAGCAGAGCAGAAACTGGGAGGAGGCATAGGAGATGAGGCAGGGCCTACTAGGCCATTACCAAGACTTTTGGGGTTTTATTTTGAGTGAGAGCGGAAAACTATTGTAGGGTTTTGAGTAGGGGAGTGAAGTGATCTAACTTTTGTTTTAAAGGATTCCTGCGCCTACTCTGGGGAATATATACACTATAGGAAGAGAAGAGAGGAAGCCAAGTGATTAGTTGCAACAGTCTGTCAGAAAGGAGGGCTGGGAGCAGGGTGGTAGTGGTAGAAGTAACAAGAAGTGATTCAATCTGGGATATATTTTATTTTATATTATTTTAATTTTTTTTTGCGGTACGCAGGCCTCTCACTGTTGTGGCCTCTCCCGTTGCGGAGCACAGGCTCCGGACGCACAGGCTCAGCGGCCACGGCTCACGGGCCCTGACGCTCCGCGGCATGTGGGATCTTCCTGGACCGGGGCACGAACCCGCGTCCCCTGCATCGGCAGGCGGACTCTCAACCACTGCGCCACCAGGGAAGCCCCGGGATATATTTTAAAAGGAGAGCCAACAGAATGTGTTGGCCCTAAGGTCCTCATTCCGACTCATTTGTCAACTATTTGAAAAATAACATTCAAAGTAGAAAAATAAAACCATTTTAAAAACACAAGTGTTCATTGTTAAGCAAAGAATAATACCCAGTAGTCAAGGAACACTAACATTAGGACAGGAAATAGAGTCAAAGATAGGATGCTAAATTTTGCAGAACTTTTTACACTTTGCTATTTACAAAAATAATTTTAAACAGAAGGATAGAGGTACACAATATTATTTTCCAACTAAAGAAGAATCCGTTTAAATATTGTTTTGTCATGAAAGACAGGACCCCTATATATATGGAATCCCCCCCCAAAAAATGGTTCTGACGAACCTAGGGGCAGGACAGGAATAAAGACGCAGATGTAGAGAATGGACTTGAGGACACGGGGAGAGGGAAGGGTAAGCTGGGACGAAGTGAGAGAGTGGCATGGTTATATATACACTACCAAATGTAAAATAGATAGCTAGTGGGAAGCAGCCGCATAGCACAGGGAGATCAGCTCGGTGCTTTGTGACCAGATAGAAGGGTGGGATAGGGAGGGTGGGAGGGAGATGCAAGAGGGAGGGGATATGGGGATATATGTATACATACAACTGATTCACTTTTTATAAAGCAGAATCTAACACTGTAAAGCAATTATACTCCAATAAAGATGTTAAAGGAAAAAAAAAAAAGGACAGGACCCCTGAGGATCTTTCATAACTCTTGAAGGATGTGACTCCCGTGGTGCAGCCAGCATTGCTAATAGTTCTTTGGGTGAGGGAGATTTAAATAAGCAAAAAATGTGTTAAAACCACGCAAACGGAATCTGGTGGCCACAGACCCACCAAAAACACTGGATTGTATGAGTCGGCTGGGTTGAAGGGTGGTTGATCCTTTAAACTTGAGCAGGTTGAGCCTCTCAGAGATGGGTCTTTAGCGCTCGCTCGGTCCTGGCTAAGGCCGGGCTCACATCCAGGACTGGGTCTCTGCCGGCACACCGCCCTTATCCACTGGCCTGGAGACCTACACGCTCGCAGCTCGTGACCCAACCCGCGCCACCCCGGCCCCGCCCCCTGCCTTCCCGGGCGCCCGCCCCCCTCTAACCGGGCGGCGCCGGCGCGCCGGCCGTCAGAGCGGCTGTGTGGGCGGAGCTTGCGTGGCCGCCGGGACCCCTGCGCGCACCGCCTCTCGCCCCTAGCCACCGCGCGCCTCCGCGGACACGCACTTCCTGCGAGGCCTCTGCGCGCACCTTAGGCGAGCCGAGCCGAGTTGAACCCTGCCCTGCGCTTGCGAGCTGTTCGCCATGGTGGACGAGCTGGTGCTGCTGCTGCATGCGCTCCTGATGCGGCACCGCGCCTTGAGCATCGAGAACAGCCAGCTCATGGAACAGCTGCGGCTGCTGGTGTGCGAGAGGGCCACCCTACTGCGCCAGGTACGTCCGCCGAGCTGTCCGGTGCCCTTCCCCGAAACTTTTGACGGCGAGAGCTCCCGGCTCCCCGAGTTTATCGTGCAGACGGCGTCTTACATGCTTGTCAACGAGAACCGATTTTGCAACGACGCCATGAAGGTGGCATTCCTAATCAGCCTGCTCATCGGGGAAGCCGAGGAGTGGGTGGTGCCCTACATTGAGATGGATAGCCCCATCCTAGGTGATTACCGGGCCTTCCTCGATGAGATGAAACAGTGTTTTGGCTGGGATGACGACGAAGAAGACGACGACGAAGATGAAGAAGATGATTACTAGGCCCGGAGACCCTCGGGCCTAGGGGGGAGGGCCCTGCACGCCGCCACCTCCCCCCTCCCCGCCTTGCCCCGCCCGGAGCCGCCGCGCTCCCCTAGCGCTCAGATCCCCTTCCCTACCCCTGCCTCTGGTTGTCTTCCTCCTCCCCCCTCCTCCCCCCCTCCTCCCCGTAGTGCTTGTCTTTGTTCCGGGGATAGTGCTCCAGTTACCTGCTGCTGAGGCTGGGGCCTCTCTCTGAAGTGCGCTGCCTCCCACTGGCCAGCCCCAGGACCCTCTCCTGCTGACTTGAACTGTGTTCTGAGCCCCAACTCTAGGCCAGGCCCCTGTTACCAACTGGACTACGCACAGCTGTGCCGCACAGCCCTGCCAACTGTCAGGCCTACATCTTGCCCAGAGACCTACGCTGCCACGTAAGCACCCTCCACCACATTACAGCGACAGACCAGGCCTTTGGAGATAAGTAGCAACCTAGAAGATGCCTTAGTTGGCTACACCTCCTGGGACACTGGTTTGGACTGCTCACCAACTTCCCCCAAGGGGCTAATCTTTCAAGCTGGTTAGTTCCCTGCTAACGCCCAAGGCCTTCTCCTGCCTCACCAGATTGCTGCAGGAGCCTGTTGTGCCTGGCAGCCAAATCGTTGACATTTCTCCTATGCACCAGTTTTGCACAACTGTCATTTATCTTTCAAAATTGCAGCAATCCCACAGATGTGTGCATTTGGACAAAAATACTAAAAACAAAACAATACAAACAAAAGCAGGCACTCAGCCCAGCTCCTCAGTACTACCTGGAAAAAGCATTTGCATTCTTTTCAATAAATATCAAGCACTACAAAAAAAGAGTCTTTTTTAATGGTTGAGGGCTGTCATTGGCCTCTGCCACTCACCCTGACTCCCATATTCTCATTGATATCAGGGAACCTAGTTCAATCCCAGTATTCCCCACTGTCATGTGTAGGCTACAGAGGACAGCTAACATAGGGCTTTATGGGGAATCTGGTACTCCCCTCACCAAAGCATTTCTTGCAGCCCTGGTGAAGGGGGTGTCCTCTGGGGCTTCCAAGATGACATGGGTAAGCTGTGGCTGAGCAGGTGGCACACCATCCCAAACTGGGACACTTTTGAGAGAGCTTAAAGGGGACACTATTAATTATTAGACTGGGACAGCAGGCATAAATCAGGACACACAATATTCCTGTCTTCCTGAGCTTTTGGGTTCTTCCTCAACACGGCAAGTTCTGCCCCTTAACCCTTAGTGCCTGTGGGGTGCTATTGAGTTCAGGCTTCATTTAACAACGTAGCACATTGTTTTAATACCCCTTTGAGGTGCTTGAGCTAACATTAAATCCTAGATCCTGGGTAAATGCACCCATAATAAACAGAACCTGACTTGAACATTTCATCTTCCTTGGGCAGATACCCTTAGAATCCCCACCCATCCATGTGCCCCAGATTCCAGCCTGTAGAAATTGACAATATGCTTGGCTATCTCCTGAACTAGATCTTATACTGCTATCTGAGCTATGCTGAGATTTCTTTGTGGGCCTGGATGGCTCGGAGGCACTAAGGGAGTGGGGTGAGTGCTGAGAAGAAGCTGCATACCTTTGTGAGGCAGTTACCCCAGGTTAAGTCACTGAAATGTTAAATCAGGGAAGCTCGGTTAGGGGATTTGTGGGGCCTATCTCTGCCAGCCAGGAGCTGTCAGGAGCATTTGGGAGATGCCGAGTTCTCATTCTTATCTCTATCTGCCCCCATGTCTTTATTGTACCACGTCTGGAGCCAGCTCTACCTTAGAACCTCTAATTAATTTAGGTAATAAATTTTCTTGTTGATTAAGACCTTTTGAGTCTGGGTATTCTTTTATTTGTATTGTGACGTAAACCTCACATTGTGGGTTAAATGAGATACTGGTCATCATACCGGGTACTTCAGAGGTGTGGATTCAATGAGATCGCACCCATGAGGTATTTTGAACTGTCCCTGCTGCGTGATGAGCACTCAGTAAACATGGGCTCTTACTCCCAGGCCTGCGAACTGAAGCATCATTCCAGAAACAGGTCTCTTGCTATGACCTTGGCCTTAGGAAAATGTCAGGAGTCAGTAGGAGCAGAGCAGGCTCAGGAAGAGTGGAAATGAGAGCATGACAAGACCTCATTTACTCTTTGGGATCTGACATGAAGTCAGATAGAAAGCCGGTTTACTAAGTGAACAGGCAAAGTCCAGAGCAGGAGTCATTTTTCCAGTCTAGCAAAGTTGTTTCTGGAGGGTGGGACAGGGGTAGATATGATGTAGCAAAGGAGGTTGAGGTCCATACTGGGGGTGGATCTGGGGAAGTAGTGGGCAAGTGCTGAAAGCTACGTGAGACCCACTGAGACCAAATATCAGTCATTCAAAATGATCAGTGGTCCAGGTAGACTTAGAGGAGTTAGAGATATGGTGGTCAAAGAAAAGTGGTTCTTGCCCTCATGGTCATTCCAGTTTGTTGCTTTTACGGTGCATTGGGCCAGAATTGGGATACCTTGCTACAGGTAAGGTCCAGAAAGAGAATCTAGACTGTGATTAGATTTGAGAGTGACCTTTCCAAGGTGAAAGTTGAAGGCATGAATAGATGAGATCTACTCCCCACCACCAAACCAAGTGTGTGCATGCTCTGTGCAGAAGGAAGGGGTTTCTGGTCAGTGAAGGTGCCAACGCAGCACCTGAGTAGCACTCATGACAGCTAGGCCAAGAGCTTCTGGAATCTGAAACGTACATGTCCTGGGCTTGTATGCACGTGCCTGAGCTGACTCAGTGTGTGTGTGTGTGTGTGTGTGTGTGTTAATGTCCTTCATGTATCATGGAAGAGCGGTTTATACTGTGAGCTGCAGAGAAGGACAGTGTTAAGAATCTGGCTACCTTGGCAGATTCTGCAATAAAAGCACAGATAGTGGCAAGGGCTTTACCACCACGGGAGGAATTCGTGGTAGTGTGATAGTGGCATAAGGCATAGCAGAAGAGAATTGGAGGAGTAAATAAGCATATCTGAAGATAAAATCACCACTCAAATGAAAACTACTAAAAGTAGGTGAAAATGTTGAAATAGCAAATATGAACTTCAGACTCCTGAATTCCCATCACACTGGACTTGAAACGGTCACTGAAATTGTGCTATTAATGAAATGAAATGAATCATATTGAAGGTCATAATCATTTAATCCTATTAAATCTTCCAATGTATGTTTGGATTTCTCTAATCACTTGAATAGGTAAGCAGTGCCATCCATTAATTCTGTGTGGCTGTGTTTTGCCGGATGATATATTAAGCTAGAGGTACGTGATGCACATTGTGTTTGGTTATTTTCTGCTATTACAACATAGTGAAAACCTCAGCAGTTTGGAAGTAGAGGGAGATGTGTTGTTAAAATTAGGGGAATATTTATTTTTTAACAAATGAATTTAAACAATTTTTAAAGTTCTCAAAGCACTTAAAGCTAATAAAAGGGTATCAATTCAAGGTCCTGAGAATGTTTTCTTTGATGGATGATCAATGTGGGGTAATTGTATGAAGTATATATATTATTTGCTTTGAAATACGAATTTTGCTAAAGTAGCATTAAAAGTGTCTGGTAGTTTGCATTACTCAGTAGTTCAAGTATATTCCCTACAGTCTTATGCCCACTTAGTCCTAAAGGTAGATACAATCAACTGTGTTTGGTGTCCTTCGACAGTGCTGGTGACCCCCTACTTCTTACTTCTGATCATCCCCCTTGCGTTTTTTTCCCTCCTGTCTGAAATGCCTCTGTTAGGATTTGTTCATTTATCTTCAAATATTCTATTGTCCAGAGACTTTAAAAAAAAATGCAGTTAGCCTGTGATGGGTAATAGCTTGCTTGAAGTATTTATTAACAGCAGAGCAAGATTTGTTAGAGGAGCAAAAGCCCTGCCCCGGATTAGTTGGGTGGGGGAGTGGTGGTGAGATGCTGCAACATTTGTGTACCTCCTGGTATCGGAGCTACGATCAATAACACATTAATTTTTCTTATGATTATATCCACAATATTTTCATATCTTCTCTTCCCCTGCCCTAAATGACAAAGGATTTCATGCACAGAATTGCAATAATATAATTCTATTTTAGCCAAAGTCCCTATACAGTCAGTTCAAATGACCAGTCAGTTCAGAGTCAACCAGTCAGCTCAAGATAAAAAACTGTCACAAGACTGTTTATATGCCTCATTTAAAATTGTTACTTAAAAAAAATCATACCAGTAAAAGAAATCAAAGGGAATTATATTTCAGTGGTAACTGAAGTAATTGGGATATTTCTGATTTATTTGTTCTCTAGACACAGATAATTGCACTGCCATACAGGACTTTTAGAACTGCTCATTTGAATGTACACAAATTTTTAACATGTTCATAAGTAGGGAGAATAATATAGTGAGTCCTCATAGACCCATCTCCAGATTCAAAACTTACCAACATTTTTGCTTCACTTATCCCTTTTCTTTCTTATAATTTTTATGGAATATTTAAAATCAAATCCCAGATATCATATTAATTCACCCTTTAATATTTCAGTATGTTTCTCTAACAGATAAGGCTTTAAAAACAATCCATAATATCATCATCGTATGTGCTAAAATACGATGACTCCTTAATATTTAATACTCAATCCATATTCAAATATCCCCAGTGTCTTAAAATTGTGTTTTTAATTATTTGTTTGAATTAGGTTTCAAAAATGTTGACCCCTGCATCGGCAGGCGGACCCTCAACCACTGCGCCACCAGGGAAGCCCTAGAGGCTCTTCATTTATTAGGGATCTGTGATATTTATTGCAAATATTTACTTATTTTAATTTTTTGGCCATGCCGTACAGCATGTGGGGTCTTAGTTCCCAAACCAGGGATGAACCCGCACCCCCTGCAGTGGAAGCATGGAGTCCTAACCACTGGACTGCCAGGGAAATCCCTTATGTTGCAAATATTTATGCCCGGTCTATCATTGGCCTTTTTATTTTCTTTATAGTATTGATATTTCAGGCTGTTGTGAAAATGTTTAATATATTTCCATTTTTTCCAGTATCCTTCCATTTCTGTGCTCCCCAATTTATTTGGTTATATTCTTTCTCTTAGTGTTTATACCTTTAAATCGTGTATATACCTCTATTATTTTTCAGATACGAGTGATCTATTTTGACTCTCAGCCATGAAAGATGAGGAACTCAACATATACACTAATACTATTTCCCTATCAGCTTTGTAAGTTACATTGTTTCTGTGTTGTCAGTGTTTGTAACAGTTACATGTTTTTCCCCCTGAACATAATCCCTGCATGTGTTTCAATTTTAATATATCAGACAAATGAATTTAATAATAACTACCTTGTCCAATTTTCATTTAGTGTTTTTTTGTTAGCTAGTTTCTTTTTCCATTTTTAGTTGTTTCTTCAAAAGGAAAAAAATCCCCGTAAAACTCCTGGGAAATATATCGTCTGAGGTTTTGATGGTGAATAACAGTTTTGTTATGGGTAGAGGTTCTTTTCTTTCATTGCTCCACTATCTTTTTAGCATTGAATGTTATTTTGTAGAAGTCTGAGGCCATCCTAATATTTTTCATCCATAACTGATTTGATACTTTTGTTGATTTCTCAGAGAATTTTTTTCTTTATATTTCAACAGGATATATCTAATTGTTATTCATTTTTTTGTGGAACCTGGTGTGACCATTTAACATGTAGATTCGAGACCTGAGTCCCTTCTTCAGAGTTTTCATAATTATTTATTTAAATATGTATAATATATACTGATATTTATTTATGTTGACTCTCCTTTACCTGGCCTCTGTATTTTAAATTTTCTCAGACTTTTCTTAATGTTTTCTTCATTTCCACTTTATTCTCTTTACTTTTATCAATCCTGTTCTCTCTGTCCTTTACAATGATTTCAGAAGTATCTGTCATTCCTCATGTTGTTTCTAGTTTGGCTTCATTTTGGTGACAGATTTGTTGTTTCCCACTTCTTTGCCAAGTGCTGCCAGCTCATGCTTTAGCTTCTATTGACTCGTGCATATTCCTGAATCACGTATTTCTTATTTGTTCTCTTGTTGTGCAGCTATAGATCCTTTTTTGTTGTTGTTGTTGATGACAGTGTGCTATGTTATGATATGATGGTGATATGTGTGCTATGTTATGATATGATGGTGATATAAGTCACATCTCTTTCTTGGCAGTATTTTGCTAGAGAGTGTTATTTGCCATTTTCTTTCCTGTTCCTTCCCTCCTATGGGAGTGCTTCTAGGAACCTTTCAGTATCTTGCGTCCTTCCTAGTAATGCTGCTCTTCCTCCATAAAGAAGTTACAAGTCAGCCTTTCTTGTCTCTTTCAGTCCAGTCCCAACAGCATTTTCTCTGGCAGAAATAACTCAGTGTTAATGACTTGTACATTGCATACTTCCCAATTTCCTGAAAGGAGACAGATCTGACTCCCCACTCCCTTTTTTAAACATTTCAATAGCACTCTCATGTTTTCACTGTACCTGAATGTACCTATATGACTTCCGACATTATTTTCAGTCAACGTTCTGTACTTTCTGTATTCGCCCCTGCTGCTCAGTAGTTCTGATGTCTTAATCGCCTGGGATAATCTGTATCCTTGAGAAGCGTTGAGCTAACCTTTGTGAGGGATTGAATAAGGTTCAACTCTGGGAGTGGAAGAACCTGAAAAGTAAAAAATGAAATATTAATGACTTAGAATACTTTCTCACTACAGCTGTGTGTATGTTTCAAAAAATAAGATCAATTTTATTCTCAATTTTTGGAACAACTTTTTATCCCCCTGTGTAACAAGAAGAAAAATG